TAGCGACAAAGGAAACTGAAAAAAGAAAAAAATAAATCGGATAATTATGCTTAGGGTTAGGAGCATTTAAACCGCGGAGAGTTCGACAAAGCTGATTGGCAAAACTTCAGAGGATGGTTCGTGGCCTTTATTGGGCATCAGAATAATCTTGTCATCTGCCTTAAGAGTTATATCACCACGATATCTAGCATAATTAGAAATAAGTTGATAATCAACTTGCGCTCAGTTCAATCAAAAAATAAATAGACTTCATGTTCTCTAACCTGTTTATACCAAAACCTTAAGTTTAATTTGAATTTGCTAAGTCCAAATTTATAATTAACAATTTCCAAATTTTTAATTGATAATTTCATTAGTCAAAATCATGTTTTAGTTGAATTATACTAGGAGTTTATCAAGTACTAATCAAAATCATAATAAGATTTATTGAGTCCAAGATATAGTAAAAATAATTTGGGGTCGGCATTATAGTCTTAGGAGGAGTCAAATATGTTAAAAAAGATCACATATAATCAATGGAAAGCAATTATAAACCAAAGGAGCGTCAAAGTGTTGCACAAATTCCGCTACAAACTCTCAGTCACAAGTTGCAGCACATTTTGCACATAGAAAACATTCGAATTTGGAAGATGTTATTCTAGAAAAATTGTAGTTCTTTAAGTTACATTTCCAATTCACTTTGACTCACCTCAATTAGATATTGTAAGAGGACGTTATGATTAAAATACTAACCACCAGTCAAGGACAACTTGTTGGCCACGAGCCTAGGTGCTCAAGTGATGGTTTGACAATTAGGTCTCCAAGTTCGTGTAAAACACTGGTTTTTTAGTTACTTTTCATCTATATAGCCCCATGAGCAACCCAAAGGTGTGTTGAATCATTCTCCAAGTTAGTTGGCCTTTTTTGGATCAATGAGAAAATATGCATGATCTTTCTGAGTGATATTAGCAATAAAGTTGTGCGGCAGGTGAAAAAAATTGTAAAAGTTAACCTTAAGGTCACCGACTACTACTGTGATGTATAAAATTGGTGGTTAATAAGTGATATATCTCGTGAACCAATTTTCTTAATACCTAATTGTCCAATACTCATATTAGATAATGAAAATTCTTGCTACAAATGAAGACTAAATTAATTTTTTTTTTTTCAATTTCCCTATCATTTTCATTCTAGTTTTTGGTTCATGATCTACTTCACCTCTACTAAATGTTATTAGTTCAAAGTAAATTTGACCTTCAATCCTCCTTTTTGGCACGGTTCCAGATATTCAATTTGAGCCATGGTTTGGATCCTGTTATGTCGAGGAATACATTCCACGGGCTTTGATGAAATTATGGAAGGATCCTCCCAAAATCAATTCCTCTTTACAGTTGCCGTTGAAGAACAAGTTTATTTCGTGCAATTTTTCCATAAGCGTTAACAATGAGTCTTGTGAGTCTGGAAAGATATCATCTTCAAGATGTATAATTGATGAACCTATGATGGGGTTTTGTTACAAGTTTGACAAGACTCGTAAACTTCCATTTGTCGATGTACATTTCTACATAACATTTAAGGGTGGATACAGTAGTTTAAGCAATGGTTTGTTGGCTGAATTGTTTACACTGCTACTAGAAGACGAGCTTAATGCAATTATCTATCAGGTCACTTTCTCTCTTTAATGACTGTGTTGCTATTGAATTTCATATGCACTTGATGTTGTTTCCGTCTCTTCTAAATAGTGATTCGCAGACATAGTAACCTAATTATTTTGGTGGCAGGCTAATGAGGCAAAACTAAAGATTTCTATTTCTATTAGTCATGACAAGTTGATACTACAGATTTTTGGTTTACTTGATAAGATTCCAGTCCTATTGTCAGAAGTTTTGGCGGTTGTTAAATCATTTTTGCAAAAAAATGATCGCTTCAGGGTATGTAAGACTCTTCCCTTCAAATGAGAGATGTATTTATCGTTCCACTTGCCCCATGAGATAACTAGAAGATAAAATCAAAATTAAATTTAAAAGAATGGGAAAGTTATATGATATCCTTGTTTTGGAGTTAAAAATAGAAAAATAATGGTAAAAGGATGTAAAACACGGTTAGTTTTCATTACGAGCATATTTAGAAATTACTAGCTTTTCTTCTGAGAAGACGTATAGTTGTAGCCCTGATGGGTTTTGTTTTTCATGATTTCTCAATTTTTGTTCCTTTTTTCTTCATATTACGCTTATTCAATTTGTTGTTTGGTTTCATCTAAGCTTTACTGCGTAGAATTAGAGATTGCAAGTAAAGTAACCTTATTAGTCTTTTCTGCAAAGTTAGCTCTCAAAAATTTAATCAAGTAATGGTTGGGACATGGTAACAAAAACATGAAATTTTATGAAAATATTTATGTAAATAATTATCAATTTATTGATTTATTTCTGGCTAAGTTACTACTTGATTTTCATTTTAGTATTTTTTTTAACTAGTGATTTATGTGTAGATAATTTTATTGCTAGTTGTCAAATTATTTTACTGCAAGTTTTTCTTTTTGAATTTGTTCCATGCACTGATGATCAATTTTTGATAGATTATTAAAGAAGATATGGAGAGAAATATAAAGAATACCATCTTCGACCCTCAAAATCTTTGTAATTCCTCTATAAAGCAAGTATTACATCGGAGCGTTGGGACTGTAAAGGAGAAACTGAGAATTTTAAGTAACTTGTCTATTGCTGATTTAAAGGTTTTTATTCCAGAGCTTCTTTCACAGGTTTGAAACTCGTCTTCACATTTAGGTTATCAAATTATTGCCTGATTTAACTTAGCGAATTAATTTTATTACCTGTATATATACATAAGCATTGCCTCTAGGAGTTGTTGTTTTTTTTTTTTCTTTTTTTTCATTTACTTGGTTTTCCCGTGCTCTTTGCCCTATAGTTGGCATCTAATTTTAGCTACTTGAGTCGACCATTTTTGACAAGTTAACAGATTTTTGGAACTAATTGTTTACATTTTAAAATAATTACATATGATTCCCCACAAAAATATTTTCAATGTAGTTATTTATATCTTTAATCAGTATAAAAAACATATCCAATGTTCGTTAAGTACACAACTAGCGTCTCTCTAGCATTTAGCTTAGTTTAGTCAGGAATTCTTTTGCTTAGAAGAATTTTCTGAATACCTCGATTTTGAAGGGCCATTTTTTATTAACAAAGTTATACAATATGATACGATAAGTAAAGTTGTTATTTCATTGCTAAAGTCAAATTAAATATTTTCAAATTATGAAAAATTTAAAGCTCGTTTAGAATAACTTTTGCTTTTTGCACAAAAAAACTTTGGAGAAAACTACCTTAATTTTTGTTTGAAAACTAATTTTTAAAAGCTCTTTTCATTTCAAAAGTGCTATTAAGGAAAATCACAATGGACCATCTTTTTCTAAAAATCATAATTACTAAAATTCGATGTGGAACGGTCGATCGCAGGGGCGGATTTAGGTGGTGGCCAGCTAGGGTGGCCGCCCTAGTTGGACTCGTCGAAGAGAATTTTTTAGCTGATAATAGATAAAATTTTTGGATTATATATTTGATAATTCATATTAATAACAAATGTATCTAGTAGCTCAGCTGGTTAGCCCTTCCATTATTGAATTGGAGGTCATGTGTTTGAAATTCTTCAAGAGCAATATATTTTATAATTTTTGTATTTAAACAATTTTTACTAAAACAAATGCAAGGAAGGTGATGCGAACCTGCTATCTTTTATAAATATGTTGACCACTTTATCATGGCACTTATTGATTTTTAGCACATAATGTAACAAAATAATATATGTTCAATTTTACCGATTTAATGCAAGTAGAAACATTTTAACCTATGCTTTGTCCCTCTTTTTGATTTTCTTTTTCTTTTCTCCCCCCGCCCCCCTCTAATCAGTTGATTTGACAATTTGGTCAATTAATGGTGGATGAATTTGTAGAAAAATTGGTCTGTGTCATAAGGAATCTTTCAACAAAACTTATTTAATTAATAAAAGGTACCACTTTTCGTTCAAAAAAATCGATTGCGAAAAAGTGGAATTATACAAGCACATAAAATTGATATAAACACATAAATAATTTCAATATAATAATACTTGTTTAATTAACTTTAATTGTAAATTGAAAATTGGCATTTTGTTAATATATATTGTCTATTTAATTGAAAACTAAATTAGGGCATTTTATAGATTATAGAACGATTTTTTCATCTAAAATAAAAATTCGTACTTAGTTCTAATTCTAGTGGTGTATCTAGTTCTAATCTGTATGATTTTTTGAATATTATTTAATTAAATATTAATAAACAACCTTACTATTACGGACGTTGGCTATCGGTAGTAAGCTTTCAACGCTCGCAGTCCGTTCTAGCTAAACTCGACTCCTAGATTCGCCTCTGGTCGACAGAGTCAAAAAATCGATTCCAGATCCTTGATTGGGTTGGGTAGAATAATTTGATAGAAATTTGAGTCAATCAAAAATCGAGTTTGATCGAGTTAACCAATTGTTTTTATATTAAATCAGTCCGGTTGACTGGTTTGATCAAATTTCAAAAGTTTTTCCTTAAATTTTTAGTGTTTAAAAGACTTGAACCTTTGAAATATATAAATAATTAATGAAACATAATTTAAAAACTTTCATTTTATCTTAAAGAAAATTTTATATTTAAAAAACTTTTAAGAATTTTTAAGTATTGATCCATCGTTCCAACCGCTAACTTGCCGGTTCGACTAGGTTGATGTCCGGCTCAAATCTAATAAATATGTTAAAAGCACTTCTAACTATTAGAAGTATTCTCATAAAATTAGTCAAACGGGTTTAAAAGTAAATTTTGTGTTTCAAAAGCTCTTTTTGACTTAAAAGCTATGTCAAACAGGCCCTTAGTATATTGTATTCACTTGTAGAAATGGAATTTTCAATCTCATGATCTTCACAATAAATTTGTTATCATTTATTGTATATGAAATAATAGATTAAAAACATTAATTGAAGATGGAAAGAAAACATGTTATAGTCTTGCTACACAAACAGGGAAAGTGTCACAAGCTTTGTCCAGGTGGGCAACTGTCCATTTCTCATTGTCGGACGAGGTAAAAGAACTACCAATTAGGTGTTGCATTTACACGTACAGGGTAAGTTTCATAGGCTTTGTGCAGGTAGCCAACTGTCCATTTCTCATTAGCGGATGCAAAAAAGTAAAATAAATAAATAAATAAATAAATAATAATTGCCTATCAGGTGCTGCCGTGAAAAATCCGTACAAGTGGGTTTTTCCAACAAGATGTTGGTGCTCAAGTTGATAAGGTAAATGTTCAATGTGACTTCTCAACTTTAATGTTGAAATTAATGGACAAGAATCCTCGTTAGTTATGCCTACTTTTAAGTAGGGTATTTTTGGAAATTTACTAACATCATAGAAAAAATAAAGTTCTTATTCTGCAATTGTGTACAGATTAATTTGAACATATGTTAGCACTCGATCTCCTTGTTTGCTAGAAAACACCCATGTCATGTGGACTCTTCTATTATGACTCAAGTGCCCATATACTCATCATTTTTTGGGCGTATACATTTCCAATATTAAGCATAAAAATCTACAATGTTAATACTTTGATATTTTGACATGTGTGTGGGGTCAGTGCTAGTATCAAAGTCCATACAAAATGTAGTAGTACACAAATTTTAGGAACTCTTCTCCGGCAGGTCAAAGTAGGTGAATAAATGTTAATTCAACAATATCAACTATCAAGTGATTGAAACATTGAATCCCAAAATAGTGATTACTTTGGAGTAGCTTACATGCATTACTATCTGTACAATCAGGTTTTTTTCTCATAACTTTGCATTTACTGTCATCTGTTTTCATGCAGTTGTATATTGAGGGCCATTGCCATGGGAATTTGATGGAAAAGGATGCTCTTAACATATCAGATATATTCAAAAGTAATTTCTCTGTGCCAACATTGCCTATTGAGGAGAGATACAAGGAGAGTGTGGTGCGTCTTCCTCCGAGTGCTGACCTAGTCAGAGATGTCAGGGTGGAAAATGAACTAGCAACAAACTCTATAGCGCGGGTAATCTGAAAAGCCACTTATTATGGGCTGCTCTTATTCTTGTTATTGAAGAGATGTTGCTAATTATTTCTATTTTTCATTCTGTTTGTAGCTCTATTTTCAGATTGAACCCAACACGTTTGAATTGTATGCATTGACTGTACTTTTTGATAGTTTAGTGAGCGAACAATTTTTCGATGTGCTCAGGTAATACTCAGTTCGAGCTAGATTATACTGGATCATAGGAAGACTGTTGAAGTCTAAATTATTAACATTTAAAATTTTCTTTAAGTGAACAGTTACAAAAGACCCCGGATAAATGATGACTAATTCATGATTTAATTGATGTTAAAATAGGACGAAAGAGCAGCTTGGCTATGGTGTTGATTGTGGCCCATGGGTAACATTCGGAATATTGGGGTACTGTTTCCAAGTTGAATCTTCTACGTACAATCCTGTGTACTTGCTAGAGAGGATTGACAACTTCATAAACGGCCTTGAAGAGATGTTGGTTAGTTTGAAATCCTTCTTTCTTTAATGCATTCAAGCCTCGATAGTTCTCTGTTTTTAACCAACTGCAATCAACATTTGGTTAGATTCTTTCTTGTCTCTAGCATAGTAATTGTGCATTTAGAATTTGTCATAGTTTGAGGAAGATTTTGCATTGAAATATTAGGTATTGAGATCACACCATATATTTGCATTGTCTGAAATCTTCTACTTTCTTCATTTCTTATTCATAATGAAATTTTGCAATATTGTTTTTGAAAGTGTCGGATTATATTTATATGCTTCCTCGTTAAATATTTGTTCACAATGCAGAATGGATTCAACAACGATTCGTTTCAGAATTACAGAGGTGCATTAATGGGCAACATTCTCCAGAAAGATCCACCCTTTTATGCTGTATAGTGATTTAAACCTCTTTTCTGAACTGTCATGTTAACCTTTGGTGGCCTTGTCCTACAGGTGTAGTAATGACACTCCAGAATTTGGAGTAGCTGAATCTTTTGAGAAGTCGGATATTATCAACTGGTACAATACTTACCTAAAGAAGCCCTCTACAAAGTGTAGAAGACTTGCTATTCGAGTGTGGGGTTGCAATACAGACATGAAAATTTTAAATGAGCAACCATCGTATAGACAAGAACTTCAAGATGTAGAAGCTTTCAAAAGCTCATCTGACTTCTATCCAGGTTATGATTATTGATTGAAACAAAAATTATTCAAGATATTTGTCTTCCACGATTCCACTGCGAACTCCGGATTCCAGTATAGTTGATAGTGAAATCATGAATTCAATTATGTTTGTGATTTTTGTCTATTTTTCTATTTCAATTCATTTTTTATTTTTTAGAAAAATTTTCTATCTCAATTCAGCACAAATGAGGACAATATTTGAACACAAATCAAGCCATTACAATGTTGCCAAAAATGTTTGTAGTTACTTTACTTACAAACATAGGAAATGCGTTGAGGCGCAGCAGTTGACTGGACATCTAGGGGTAAAGCACTGTTTCGGTGCGGGCTTATTTCACCTCTTCCTCAGAGAAAGACGATCAAACAATTCCCAGTCATGGTCCTTGCGGATCGGATCATCCATATACCTCAATGTCCCGGCTATTCACGGAACGTGAGAAGCAATCATCTGCTTCTGGAAGACCCGCGGGTGAACATCATCAGTCTACTTTCCTCGCTTCCTTGCTTAAAAGCTTGGGGTGGTGAAGGGAGAGCACCAATTGGTAGAAAAACCCACAACCCCGGTGTAAGATATGACATTGTTCGAGGAACCCTAGATGTTGTCGGAGTAAAGGTTTGACACGATTAATTCACTTTATATCTATACTAACTAAAAGATTTAGCGAAATTTACTAGTAATGTTTGATTTTTATTTTCTGAATGATTGTGATACGATTCTACTGTTTTCTTGAATATACGTTCTTCCAACCACTTTTACGTTCTCCAAAAGGGTACGAGAAAAAAAAACAATTCTCTCCCACACTTCCATAGGGACAATACTGGATGTCTTGCCCAATTCCCCTAGATCTTATTCATGGGCATACTGTTTTTCCCTATTCAGTCTAAGAAACTATTTTGGCCCTTTCTTTCTACATGTACATCGCCTAAACTTTTATCACTAGTTCAATTAAATTCCCAACTTTTTAGGAACTATTAAAATGACTTTATTGGGCTCATCTTTCAGAATCCAATAATTAAACTCAATGAAACCAGCCTAAGACTACCCAATATAATTATTCATGTTTGCTTAGGGATGTAAATTTTATTCGTTGGGCTCGTGGCTCAACTCGGAAAAAGCCATAGCTGGCTTGACTCATGGCTTGGAGGGACCGAGCTCAGGCTCGGGCCGAGCCCCATTTTGAGGTGTCGATTCGAGCCCGAGCTAGCTTGAGCTACATGGGCAGGCCCATGAGCCAAGCCTTGGGGGGAATAAAAAAAAAATGTAAAAGCTTCCGTAAACAGGCAGCTAATATATAGCTGCAAGCCGAATATAGAAACAGGTAGCAGAATATAGCTACCGTAAAGGAAGCTATTGTAGCTGCCGTTAACTTGCATAATGTCAATCGTAATTTAAATTTCAAATTTGAATTTCAAACTTAGTAAAAATGATTATATTTTTTGATATAAATATAAGTTAAATTTTTGAGTTTCATAACAATTTTCTTCAATCAATTTTAACTTGCAGTATTTTAATTTCATCATCAATTTCTTTGCTCTAATATTCATTATCTTTTGTTGTAGTAGCCATATAATATAAATGGATTATTTGTTTCAAGAAAAATTATACACGAAATAATTTTTTCGTGTACAATTTTAATTCTACTTACGTTGATTGTATTCGATCCCGAACTCGGAAAAAGGAGGATTGTAACTTTTATTTAATTTATAATTCATACAAATTTTAATTTTTTTTATTCCTTTTAAAAACGTTAGGTGGCCGGAAGATGGTGTTATGAGTCTCCATAGTCGGCGGACAAAATGGGTTTACCAAGCTTCAAACATCTTACAATGAATGTCGTTAACTACCAATATGTAGTCGTGGGGTGGAAAATAAAGTTTTAAAAAGATTTAAGATTATTATAGATGGCACATAAAAAAATTTTGGATTTAATTTTTCATTTAAAAATTAAAAAGTTTGGGTATTGAAATTGTAATTATTTTACTTTTGACCTTTTTAATGAAAAATCTAAAGGATCTTGACGACACGAGTTTTTTGCACAAAAGATTCCAAACAAGGGGATTTTCTAGGCAATTCACTCTTTTCTCTCTCTCATCTATACCCTCTTTCTCATCTACCAACTAAGAAAAATGGACAAATATGATATTTTCTAGGTTGAAAACTAAATCAATCAGCCACATTTAATTAATAATTTTCATACAACTAAGCAAATTGTCTAGAATTTATTTTCTTTTTATTAAAATTTCATAATCGCAATTAAATGCACCATAAGAGACAGTTCATGAAAAAATTAGCATGTAATTTACTCTAATTTTCTTTTTCTTGAATTTTTCTAAGTTGGAGAATTGAATCATTAGCCTCATTTTCCCCAAGCTTAATTTACATGTTAGCAATTCAACTCTTATACTAAGATATTAGAATTCTATGATTTTCACATATAAATCATTTGACCAAAAAAAACATACATTGATCCATGATAAATTAATTTAAAGACTTAGACCTGCAAAATATGGAGAAACAAGAAAATCAAAAAATTATTCTCTCTCTTTTCCTCTATTTATGAGATAAATTCAACTTTATGGACGTAGAGAGATAGCTTCTAACGTGAGCCTTAAAACTATTCACTTTCTATCAAAGTGTGCAGTTAAGAAAGGGTCACTTCAAAACGAACCAATTAGATTTTAGCATAAACTACTTTAATTAATTAATAATATTACGTGAGTCATTGGTGTTACATTTCAGCCTTTCAATAGCTACATTTTTTTTTTGATCTCTTCGTCTTCCAAGAGAAGAAGTTCAATGTAAGTGGCTGATTTTAGTAAATAAAATGAAAATTTTGAGTTGTAATTAGAAATCTCTTGAGCCTTTGCATATGACCCGGTACTGTTTCCTATGTATATATATATATATTTTTTTTTTTATGAAAAATGCTTGTTGTATGTAAGTATTTATATAATGTTTTACGTAATGATGAGGTGTTAAAATGTAAGTGGATAAGTTATTTGATTGATAAGAATTTGATTCAATTAAATGTTGCTGTATGCATGACCCAAATATATTGTGTAAGTTCTTTACATGTAGCACAACTATATGCTCCAAATTTTCAGAAATTTCTAGGGTTTCTTTTGTTCTTCGTTTTCGGTGTCAATTTCAGTGGCTGAAATGAAAAAAATTAGGTAAAAGATAAACCTTCTTCTTCATCATTCGTCAGCATCTCATGAGAGCGAACTCAGGGTGTACTGGTACACTGGTACTGGAGCTATTGAAGAAGATGATTTCTTCACAGTTCAACTCAATTTTGTGACAGTATTTGTTGGGTTAAAACAGTTGCAAAACACAAAATAAAACAAGATTAATACAAGAAATCAAATGGAGAACTAATAAAAAGAGAAATTTGAAATGAGAACTCCCTTCTTCTCCATTCTTGGCGGCGGGTGGGCTCAGTTTAAACTCAATACACCACAATGAAACCACACAATAGCTTGACCCAAAGGGGCAAACCACTCTAAATACCCAAGAAGAAATGCTCACAAAAGAGCCATAAGGGTATTTTATACGTTTATTGGGGCTCTAAAATAGCGATATTTGATAGTCTTTTGATAAAATATATCCTAAATTGTTGTGTTTTACATTTAATAGGTGAATTTCCATGAATGAAAAGGAAGTGAAGGAAAGAAACAAAAACTGATGAAAAATAGCAAAATCCGAAAGTTTGACTTCAAATGGGGAGTTCTTTTTGGTGTCTCAAAGTGGGCTGGCCGCTGGAACATATTATATATACCAAAAAGGCGGTTACCTTGGCTGGATAAAAACACAACACACGCAAAAGAAATCAGGGAACAATTGGAATTGGATTAGGAGAGATAATTGGGCCTTGTATTGGAGTAAAAAAATTATAGGGCTGCCCAGATTTAATATATAAATACACATATATATACACACATTGAAAAGGCAGCCGGGGGGAGGAGAGCAAAAAAAAAAAAAAAAGGGGGGCAGCTTGGAGAAACTAACATACAGAGAAAACTAATATATCTTTACTCTCTTAAAAGAGAGGCTTTTGTTACTATTCATTTATGTCACAGCCGTTTTCACACTTGAATCCAATTTATCCGGTTTTGCTACAATAGTTTATCCTTTTTTTTCCCCTCATTTACATTGTTTTCCCACTTTACCCTTGAAAATCCCACCTTACACTAATTAACACATTGAGGGCTTAATGGTCACTTGCGCCCACAGTTGTTGACTTTGCACAGACAAGTTTCTTTTTTAATTTTAATTTTAATTTTTTTAATTATACTATTAATATATTTTTTTGTAAACTTTTTAAGAAACGCGTTTGATGTAACTTTAACTATTTTCGATATTCATTTAGATCAATTCGATGAGTCCATAATATAGTTCTCGAAACGAGTTCGATAAAATATAGACAATATATTTTTTATAGATGTTGCGTTACAAAAAAATGACGAGTTATACGTATTTTTTAAATTTGACGTCAAACTATAATTGGGGATTTGGAAGGAAAAACGGCGAAATTTGACCTCGAAAACGATGTCCACCAAGCGAAGCTAGGTGGCCATGACATGCGTGTCGAAAAGAGCTTTCTGAATTGGGGTCATGGGCTCAATTTCGATAACTGTAGCAAAACTTATAGCCAAATTAAAAAAATAATAACAATAAATTTAGAAAAAAAATAAGTCCGTAAGAAAAAAAAAGAGTAAAATTAGACACTCCGCGCTGCGCGGAGTGTCTGCCAGTGAGCACTCCGCGCTGTGCGGAATGCCTGAATTCAAATTTTTAAATTTTTTTACTTATGTTTTTGTGTTCATTTTCAGGCTCATTACGGAATATCAAATGAAGTCGAAATATTATATTCTTAATATCGTTTTGAAGTATTCGCGACATAGTATTGCACGTCGTTCACGATGCGTGAAACGGTCAATCATAGCAAATGTTATCGGACGTCAAAGTAGGTATGTTCAAACTATATTTCGAAATTTTCGATAATGAAC